TGGGAGGTGGCTGCCAGGTTCAAACCCCAGCGCTTCACTCACTGTCAGTCCTTTCCCTCCTGGAGCCCGGTTTCCTCGTCTGTAAATGGGGTGGTGACAGTGTCTTCGCAGGGATGTGTGAGGGCTGAGGGCCACGGTGAAAGCTCCTGGAACAGTGTCTGCAGGAGGACGTGCTCGGTGACTCTGTCACTCCGGGGCCCGGGGCTCCCCTCCCGCCGTGGGCTCCCCTCCCCCCGGGGGGCTCCCCTCCCCCCGGGGCTCCCCTCCCCCCGGGGCTCCCCTCCCCCCGGGCTCCACTACCCCCGGGGCTCCCCTCCCCCCGGGCTCCACTACCCCCGGGCTCCCCTCCCCCCGGGGCTCCCCTCCCCCCGGGGGGCTCCCCTCCCCCCGGCTCCCCTCCCCCCCGGGCTCCACTACCCCCGGGCTCCCCTCCCCCCGGGGCTCCACTACCCCCGGGCTCCCCTCCCCCCGGGGCTCCCCTCCCGCCGGCTCCCCTCCCCCCGGGGCTCCCCTCCCCCCGGGCTCCACTACCCCCGGGCTCCCCTCCCCCGGGGCTCCCCTTCCCCCGGGGCTCCCCTCCCCCCGGGGCTCCCCTCCCCCCCGGGCTCCCCTCCCCCCGGGGCTCCCCTCCCCCGCGGGCTCCCCTCCCCCCGGGGCTCCCCTTCCCCCGCGTGCTCCCCTCCCCCCGGGGCTCCCCTTCCCCCGGGCTCCCCTCCCCCCCCGGCTCCCCTCCCCCCCGGGGCTCCCCTCCCCCCCGGGGCTCCCCTTCCCCCGGGCTCCCCTCCCTCCCGGCTCCCCTCCCCCCCGGGCTCCCCTCCCCCCGGGCTCCCCTCCCCCCCGGGGCCCCCCTCCCCCCGGGCTTCCCTCCCCCCGGGCTCCCCTCCCCCCGGCTCCCCTCCCCCCCGGGGCTCCCCTCCCCCCGGGCTCCCCTCCCCCCGGCTCCCCTCCCCCCCGGGGCTCCCCTCCCCCCGGGCTCCCCCCCCCGGCTCCCCTCCCCCCCGGGGCTCCCCTCCCCCCGGGCTCCCCTCCCCCCGGCTCCCCTCCCCCCGCGGGCTCTGCGCTGATCCTCTGGCTCCAGAGGTGACAGCGGCAGCCGGTCCTCAGGGCCCGGAGGCGGCTCACAGGGCGGCAGCGGTGCGGGAGCTCGGGCTGTGCGAGGCCGAGCCGGCTTCCCGGGGAGGACTTGCCGGGCCCGGCCCCGGCCAGGGCGGGAGGAGGCCGGGGGCGAAGGGCGTTCCGGACGGTGGGCAGCTCGGAGGGGACGTTGCCAGCGTGTGAGAGTCCAGGCCGGAGGGAGCCCGCGCCTCCAGTGCTGTGTGCCCGGGCCCGCCCTGCCAGCAGGTGTCATGGAGGGTTTGTTTGTTTAGCTTTTTACTCGCAGGGACTTGCAGAAATAGCACAGAGTTCCCTACCCGGCTTTCCCGGGTGGTGATATATAGTTATCTTATCAGGCCCAGAAAACTGGCATTGCTACATCACTGGGCGACAGAGTGTCTTCGGTTTTCAACTTTTGTAAAAACCTGCATTTTTTTTGCGCGCGTGTGTGTGTGTGTGTGTGTGTGTGCGCGCGCGCGCGCGCGTGCACCAGGAAGGGTGTTGAGCTGGGGCGTGGCGCTGACGTGTGTGAGACAGAGATCCTTGGCCGCCAGCCTGTGGCTGCAGTTGGGAGGGCCTCCTGCAGGCTGCAGGCAGGGGATGCTGAGGGCCTGAGCCACAGCCCTCTTACAGGACTGCTGGCTCCCAACTGCTCCTAACGGCTTCTGCCTGCCAGCCTCATCGATGCCCAACTGCTCCCCTGCCAGCCCAATTGTTACTAACTGTCCTCCCCTGCAGGCCTGGTCACCCCTAACTGTCCTCCCCTGCAGGCCTGGTCACCCCTAACTGCCTTCCCCTGCAGGCCTGGTCACCTCTAACTGTCCTCCCCTGCAGGCCTGGTCACCCCCTAACTGCCTTCCCCTGCAGGCCTGGTCACCCCTAACTGTCCTCCCCTGCAGGCCTGGTCACCCCTAACTGCCCTCCCCTGCAGGCCTGGTCCCCCCTAACTACCCTTCCCTATTAGGCCTGGTCACCCCCAACTCCCCTCCCCTGCTGACCTGGTCACCCCCAACTGCTCTCTCCTGCTGACCTGGTCACCCCCAACTGCTCTCCCCTGCCGACTATCTTGTGTCTGCATGGAGTTAGCCATCTTTGACCATAGAGGGGCAACCATCTTGTGTGTTGGAGTGATGGTCAATTTGCATATTACTCTTTTATTAGTTAGGAGGGGGGGAAATTATATATATATATGTGTGTGTGTGTGTGTGTGTATATATACACACACACACACACACATATATATATTTGAGGCCTGGTGCATGAATTTGTGCATGGGTGGGGTCCAGCCAGACTGGCCAGGGGGAGGGGACATAGGTAGTTGGCGGGCCTGCCTGCTGGCTGAACTCCTGGTTGAGGGACAATTTGCATATTAGCCTTTTATTCTTTTTCCTTTTTTCTTTTTAATATATTTTATTGATTTTTTACAGAGAGGAAGGGAGAGGGACAGAAAGTCAGAAACATGGATGAGAGAGAAACACCGACCAGCTGCCTCCCTCACACCCCCCCACTGGGAATATGCCCACAACCAAGATACATGCCCTTGACCGGAATCGAACCCGAAGGCCAACGCTCTATCCACTGAGCCAAACCGGTTCTGGCTTAGCCTTTTATTCTATAGGATACACACTGAGTGGCCAGATTACTATGCGTTCAGCGATCATCATCTGGCCACTCAGCATTTTTTTGAAAGATTGGGATGTCATGAGTTTGAGGATCAAGCACCCCAGGTGGGGGCCCAGGCGGACTCTGTGGATACGGAGCCTCTGAGCTGGGTCTTGCAGGACGAATGGAGTCGGCTAGGTGTGTGCGGTGGGGGGTGGGCATTCTAGGTAGAGCCTAGGATTGGGAAAGGCATGGCAGTCCCTGGACATCCAGGTGGCTCTACCCAGAAAGCCAGAGACAGGAATCTGAAATATGGGAGGTGGGCTGGTGGGCGGGACAGATTGTGAGTCATCGAGGTGACCAAGTGCAAGGGGGACAGCGTGTGTCCCTGTGGGAGACGATGCCTCGGTCTGGAGACGGCCGGGGACGAGGAGCCCCTGAGGGACGGAGGGAGTGATGGGGAGGTGGCTGTGAGGAGGGCCGGCAGTGCAGCGGGGGCCAGGGAAGGCGGGTGGAACCTGTCCCTCTGCCGGCCGGCCGGCCGCAGCGGTGAGAGGGCCCAGGTGGGGCCCCTGGCCAGCGGCTGGGGAGCCGGGGGAGTGGGCGGCGTGGGAGGTGAGGGTGTGGGGCGGTGCGGACAGCTCTCTCCCTGCCTGAGACCCGGAAAGGAGGGAGGCTGCGCAGCAGGGGCTGGGCTCCGAGCCTGAGGACAGGCTGAGGGTCCCCGGGGGCCGATTGCTCAGTGGGAACAGGAAGGTGCTGTGATGTGGGGGGATCTGGAGCCAGGCTGCGGGGTTTGAGTCTCAGTTCCCCCAGGAACGCGCTGTGTGACCTTGGGCAGATCTCTCTAACTTCTCTGCCTGTTTCCTCCTCCGCCAAATGGGCTACGGTGGCAGCCCCTCCTGAGGGCGGTGCGGGGAGTGAGGGTTCAGGAAGGAACTGCGTGTAAAACGTGACAACCCCGCACGTGGTTACTCCCCAGCCCCTGTCCACACGTGTTGCTCTCTGATCTTTGACGTGTCAGGGTCAGTTCTTCTTATCACGAACTGGGTGAGCTGCTGCTCATTCATCTATTTCTCTCACCAGCACGCACTGTATGAAGGTGGTGCACGTAGGGCTGAGTGGAGGGGCCCCGGCGGGGAGGCATGAGAGGAGAGGGGCCGGGGTTCAAATCCGGCCTCAGCGGCGCACCAGCTCGTGGTGGGGCTCCTCCTCCTCGGTGAGATGGGCAGAATACCTGCCTTCGTGCTGTGCTGGTGAAAGGTTCACTAAGAGCCTGGCCCAGTGCGTGGCCCAGTGCACAGCCCGGCGCATAGCCCGGTGCGTGGCCTGGCGCGTGGCCCGGTGCGTGGCCTGGCGCGTGGCCCGGTGCGTGGCCTGGCGCGTGGCCCGGTGCGTGGCCTGGCGCGTGGCCTGGCGCGTGGCCCAGTGTGGCCCAGAGTGGCCTGGCACGTGGCCTGGCGCGTGGCCCGGTGCACAGCCCGGCGCGTGGCCTGGCACGTGGCCCAGTGTGGCCCAGAGTGGCCTGGCACGTGGCCTGGCGCGTGGCCCGGTGCACAGCCCGGTGCATGGCCTGGCGCGTGGCCCGGTGGTGGCGCTCCATTGTATCTCTATTCAGGGGCACCGTGTTGCTTTTTCTGCCTGGCGCGTGGCCCGGTGCACAGCCCGGTGCATGGCCTGGCGCGTGGCCCGGCGCATAGCCCGGTGCGTGGCCTGGCGCGTGGCCCAGTGCGGCCCAGAGTGGCCTGGCACGTGGCCTGGCGCGTGGCCCAGTGTGGCCCAGAGTGGCCTGGCACATGGCCCGGTGCGTGGCCCAGAGTGGCCTGGCGCGTGGCCCGGTGCGTGGCCTGGCACGTGGCCCCGGTGCGTGGCCCGGTGCGTGGCCTGGCACATGGCCCAGCGTGGCCCAGAGTGGCCTGGCACATGGCCCGGTGCGTGGCCCGGTGCACAGCCCGGTGCGTGGCCTGGCGCGTGGCCCGGTGGTGGCGCTCCATTGTATCTCTATTCAGGGGCACCGTGTTGCTTTTTCTGTCTCCTCCCCAGACCGAGCTTGATGGCTACTCAAGGTTTTTCCCCTTGAACTTGAGGGTGTCCCGCGCAGCACTGCAGCCCACGCCACGCTGTGGGGAAGGGCCGGGGCCGTCGAGGGCGCTCGGCAAACTCCCCGTGCGGGGGTCTCGGCGTGGGGCGGGGGAGGCCCTGAGGCGGTCGCTGCCCTCTGCGCCGCCCCTCTGCTCCCGGGAAAGGGAGGAGCGAGGCGTGTCCGTGGTGGGGCCGCCGGACTGACGGCCATTCTCCCCCAGAGACTGATGGAGAGGCAGAGGCGGAAGGCGGACATCGAGAAGGGGCTGCAGTTCATCCAGTGAGTGCGCCGCCTCCTCCTCCCTCTCCTTTGCCGTTCGGTCCCGGTGCCTTGGGGGGTGGGAGGTGGGGGGCTGGGAAGGGGCTGGCAGGGCAGGCGCTCGGGGGCTGGGTCTGCGAACCCCACGTGTGAGCCACGAACCACACACGCCCCCTGCGCCCCCTGGCCCTGCTCACCCTTGGCCTTGTCCCGTGTACCACTTCCCCTGCCGTCAGGTGACCAGACGTCCCGCTTTTGGCGGGAGAGTCCCGATTTTCTTTCTTTTTTTAAAGTTTATCATCTCTTAATATATTTTTTATTGCTTTTTTTTTTTTTTTTTACAGAGAGGAAGAGAGAGGGATAGAGAGTTAGAAACATCGATGAGAGAGAAACATTTATCAGCTGCCTCTTGCTCATCCCCCACTGGGGATGTGCCCGCAACCAAGGTACATGCCCTTGACCGGAATCGAACCTGGGACCTTTCAGTCCGCAGGCCGATGCTCCCAGGGGTCCTCAAACTTTTTAAAGTGGGGGCCAGATCACGGTCCCTCAGAGAGCTGGAGGGCCGGACTATATGAACTACTAATTCCTACTGTAACACCTCGGCTGCGCTCACTGCCCAAAAAACCTGGCGGGCCGGATCAGACTCCTCTGCGGGCCGCATGTGGCCCGCGGGCCGTAGTTTGAAGACACCTGCATCCACTGAGCCAAACCGGTTTCGGCGACATCCTGATTTCTAACAATGTGTCCTACGTCCCCCTCCATTTTAAAAAAGTCCCGATTTTTAAAAAATATATATATTTTATTGATTTTACACAGAGAGGAATTGAGAAGGACAGAGAGTTAGAAACGTCAATGAGAGAGAAACATCGATCAGCTGCCTCTTGCACACCCCCCACCGGGGATGTGCCCGCAACCAAGGTACATGCCCTTGACCAGAATCGAACCTGGGACCTTTCAGTCCGCAGGCCGACGCTCTATCCACTGAGCCGAACCGGTCCCGGCCCAATTTTTTTTTTTTTAAATCGTGACTTTTTTAAAACACCGCGGGACACATTGTAAAAAATCGGGACTGTCCCGCCCAAAGCGGGACGTCTGGTCACCTTCCCCTCGCGTCCACCGGCTCGCGATGCCCTCGCCTGCTGTCCTAACGATGAGGGGCCCACCCTCGGGCTCCGCGCGGGGCCTCCGCCCGCATCGCTGTCAGTCTTCCCCGCGGCCCAGGAGGGAGGATTCTCTCTCGTCTCCAGTTCGCGATGAGAAAGCTGAGGCTCAGAGACCGGGAGCTCGGTTAGGGTCTCAGGGGACTGGGAGGGCCCGGGGGGCGCAGGCTCTGGGCGGTCCTGTGTTGGTGCGGGGGCGGGAGGAGGGGATGGGGCGGGGGCCGCAGGGGCAGGTCTGGTGTGGGGCACGGCCATTCCCAGAGGACGGGTCTCTCAGGCCGAGGGCAGCCGCCCGCTTGGAGCACCGGCTCCTGGGAAGGCCCGGTGGGAGGGCCAGGACGAGCCCGCTCCCTCCCTGTCCCGGAGACAAGACAGAGGGCCAGCTGGCCAGGATTTAGGGAGGAGAAGCGCTGCCCCCTCACCCTCATCCCGAAGCTGACACCGAGGATGGGGCTGGAGGAGGGACTGCAGGCAGGACCTCTGGGCCGTGCCCTGGCGCCTGGACCTCCACGGGCCGGCCCTGCTCACCAGGCCTGTTCCCCCTCTTCCGCCAGGTCCACACTCCCCCTAAAGCAAGAAGAATATGAGGTGAGTGCCGCCGGCTGGGCGGTGAGGGGCGCGGGGGGCGGTGAGGGGCGCAGGGGGGGGGGGCGGTGAGGGGCGCGGGGGGCGGGTGAGGGGCGCGGGGGGCGGGTGAGGGGCGCGGGGGGCGGTGAGGGGCGCGGGGGGGCGGTGAGGGGCGCGGGGGGCGGTGAGGGGCGCGGGGGGCGGGTGAGGGGCGCGGGGGGCGGGTGAGGGGCGCGGGGGGCGGTGAGGGGCGCGGGGGGGGGCGGTGAGGGGCGTGGGGGGGGCGGTGAGGGGCGCGGGGGGCGGTGAGGGGCGCGGGGGCTGGTGAGGGTCAGTGAGGGGCGGTGAGGGACGTGGGGGCCGGGCGGCCGGGCTGGGGATGGTGAGGGGTGTGGGGGGGGTGAGGGGCGTGGGGAGCGGTGAGGGGCGTGGGGGATGGTGAGGGGTGCGGGGTCCGTTGGCCGGGCGGGGCTGGTGAAGGGGGGAGCGTGGGGGCCAGCTGGATGGGGAAAGCCCCTGAGCCGCCGCCCCCCCCCCCCCCACAGGCCTTTCTGCTCAAGCTGGTGCAGAACCTGCTGGCAGAGGGCAACGACCTGTTCCGGGAGAAGGACCACAAGCAGGCGCTGGGCCAGTACATGGAAGGGCTGAACGTGGCCGACTACGCCGCCTCCGACCAGGTGCACCTGCCCCGGGAGCTGCTGTGCAAGCTGCATGTCAACAGGGCTGCCTGCTACTTCACCATGGTGAGCCGGCGCCCCCCCCCCCCATTGCCACGCCCCTGGCTGTGCATCCTCCCCCTGACCCTCACCATCTCACCATCACCCCAGGCTCTCAGCCCGGCTGCATGGCAGCTCACCTGGAGCTTTTGAAGTCCGAACACATAGTAACAGCTTTTAAGTGCTGCTGCTGTCCAGCCCTGGCCAGGGGCCTCAGTGGTGAGAGCATTGACCCCATACACCAGTGCTGCAGATTCGATCCCTGGCCAGGGCACATACAAGGGTCAGCCAGTGAGTGCATGACTAAGGGGAACAACAAACGGATGTTCCTCTCTCTCCCTCTCCGCAGGGCCTGTACGAGAAGGCGCTGGAGGACAGCGAGAAGGCGCTGAGGCTGGACGGCGAGAACATCCGGGCGCTGTTCCGCAAGGCGCGCGCCCTCAACGAGCTGGGCCGCCACAAGGAGGCCTACGAGTGCAGCAGCCGCTGCTCGCTCGCCCTGCCCCACGTGAGTGCGGCTCTGCGCCCGCCCGCCCTGGGCCACCCCACCCGCCTTCCTCGGCGTCCTCTGTCCCCTGGAGCTGCAGGTGCTTTTGTGAGCGCCGAGCCCGGGCCAGGCGTTGTTGCTAAAGACACGTTGTGTTAGCTCTGTTGCAACAAACAAGGCTCGGAGGTGGGTGCATTTACCCCCGTGTTAAAGATGAGGACGGAGAGGAAGGCACTTCCCCCGGCGTCACTGCTAGGGGGCGGCAGAGCTGAGGTTTGAACCAGGCATTCTGATGATGGAGTCCGTGGCTGAGACGCTCGTCGGAGTGCAGGCGGCAGTGAGGCTGCACGGGGTGCCCCCTGTGTGGGGTCCCAGTGGCCAGGCTGTCATCAGGTCGGGAGGAGACGATGGGAAATGGCCAACAGAGAGCACTGCTTGCCCCAGCCCACGCTGGGCACACCACTCCCTCCCCATTTATCCACCCACTCAGCAAGTATCTACTCAGTGCCCACACGGTGCCCAGTCTGTGCCTTTTGGGGGCCCACCGTCTACTCGGAGACACATGGAAGTGTCCCAGGTCAGGCCTGGCTCCGCCATGGACCCCTGGCGTGGCTGTGGACAGTCACTGCCCCTCTCTCTGCGTATCAGCCCCACAGTTTATACTGTGTCCATCCTGCTTCATCCTGAAATAATGCGTGAGAGGACTGGGGGTGGATCAGTGCTTCCTGGAAGGGCTGGGGGGACGCCCTGAGGAGGCGGGGCTTGGGTGGGGCTGGGAGAAGCAAGAAGGATGTGGGTGAGCAGAGCAGAGAGGAAGTCACTGCACGATGGTCAAGGAGCTGGGTGCAGGCTGCTGGCCTGGCTTTGGGTCCTGATCTTGGTATGCATGCCCTCAAAGAGGCATCTGTTCCAAACCGTTGCTTTCTTCTTGCCCATCAATTTAATCTGGCTGTGCGCCCTTGGACACATGGCGTGGCCTCTCTGAGCCCTGGTTTGCACCCCTGCAAAGTGGGGGTGCTGACATACCGTGCATCGCAGGGCTGTGCGGGGGAGGGAGTCAGAAAGCCAGGCAAGGCCGTTCGAGTCGCACCGGTCACACAGCGGGAGTCCGGGGCGCCCTCATTGGCACTGTCCTCAGGCACGTGGCTGCCCTCGCCACGCGGACGGCGGTAAAGCCTCCTGCCCTCCCTCCCTCCCTCCCAGGGCCGGAGCTGTGACAGCGGGTGACACGGGCTGCTGTGAGTGCGGGAGAACGCTGAGGACGGGGGCAGCTGTTCAAAGCGGTTCTCCCTGTGAGCCGCACTACACTGGGGGAGCGGGAACAATGCACAAAAAGTAGAACAACAGGGATGTTTTCCGAACACTCACCGTGTCCGGCAACGGGACAGTGATAATTCAGAGATCGGGCGCGTTCAGGGTGGTATGGCCGTAGACGGGACAGTGATAATTCAAACAAACACCACTCCACTGCTCTCCCTGAACGGAAAAGACAGCAGCGCGGTGTCGTCCCTGCCCCACCGGCTCTCGCCGTGTCCTGGGCAGCCACGTCCCCTCCTGGAGCTGGCTCCTTGTCCGCAGCGTGGCTGCCCGCGGCCCCCTCGCAGGCGGCACCAGGCGGCGGGCGGGCGGGCGGGCGGGCCGCTCCACCCGTGTCTGTCTCCGCAGGATGAAAGCGTCACGCAGCTGGGCCAGGAGCTGGCTCAGAAGCTGGGGCTGCGAGTCCGGAAGGCGTACAAGAGGCCCCAGGTGGGTGGGCTCGGGGGCCGGGGGCCGGGGGTGCGGGCGGGCGATCGATCGGGGAGAAGCAGGTGAGGTGGCCAGGCCGGGCCGGGCCGGAGGGGGTGGCAGCAGGCGGTCCTCCCGCTCGCTGGCTGAGCGGGCGCAGCCGGGGCTCGAGGCCCCCCGACACCGGCCGTGCGGGCCGCTGCCTCCTCCTGGGCCTCCGCCCGGGCCTTTGCCGACAGCGCGCCCTCAGCCTCACGTCCCAGATCACCCCCATGGCACTGGGGTCCCTGTGGTTCACTGGGCACTCCTGTGTGCCAGGAAGCTGCCCGTAGGCAGGGTCCGGCTCTGAGTCTGGCTGTGACCCTGAGCAAGTTAGTTCTCTCTCCGCCTGGTGAGAACATTGAGGTGGGACAATGTGCCCGCCTCAGAGGGTCCAGACGCGAGGATGCGCTGGCGCTGGCGCCCGGGCTGGCGCCGGGAGGAGTGTGTGCTCGGAGTCCTCCTCCAGGTCCTGCTGGCAGAAAGCAGACGCCCAGATATGACCAGAGAGAGCGCGGTGGCTCCCAGCAGCCCCGGGGGCGGGGAGCCTGGGAAGGACCACAGACCTCGACCGCCCGCCTGGGAGATGGGAGCCTGAGCATCTCCCCAGATCTTCACCTCTCCCCCCCGCCCCCTCCCAATCTCCGCAGGAACTGGAGACCTTCTCTCTGCTCAGTAACGGCACTGCGGCTGGAGTGGCAGACCAGGTAGGGCGGGCCCGGGCCCCACGCCTCCCTCCCCACCTCTGGGCGCAGCCTGTCGGGTTCGTCCGTCTCAGAGCTCTGAGCCCACTCCCCGGGCGTCCGTGAGCTCAGGCGGCAGGTGCCGGGCCTCAGGCTGCGGGCTGGGCTCAGTCTCTCCTCGTCCCCCTGCTGAGCCGGGCGCCTGCTCTGGGAGTGGGGTGACTGCAGCCCGGGCCGGCCCCACCAGGCCTGTGAGGGCCCCTCTGGGGCGCTCGGCGTGGGGACAGGCTGGTGGGGGGAGGGGTCCCTGCAGGGGACGCTCAGGGATGCCACGGCCCCTGGAGAAAGGAGGCCACGGCCGCAGGAGGGAGGGAAGGAGGTTGGGCCGGCCACGCGGGCCTCCTCGTGGGCATGGCAGGCTCGGCGCACGCACGACTCCCCCGCTGCTCACGCGCACGGCTGCTCGGCGGACATGAGGCCTTCTGACAGGGAGGGACAGCGTGGAGGGCCGGCGGAGCCTGTGTCCGCCTCATGACCCGCAGGGAGAGGCTGAGGCCCAGCGTGGGCAGGGCCGTGGCCAGCGTCACACAGCACGGCCGCAGCAGCCTCTCTCCGGGGCTTAGCTCTGCCCTCCACCCGCTCCGAATCCCAGGGGCCGCCGTGCCTGGGCCGCCGGAGGCGGGGCTTCGCCCGTGGGGCCTCGCAGGCTGCGTGGAGGCAGGCGGGACCTCACCGGGTGTGTAACCGGCACTCACCGGGGCGGTAACCAGGAACGATTAGCTCGCACAGACCGAGTGCTCACGCAGAATGAGTGAGCGTGTCCGTCTGTTTGGGCTGCCAGAGCCAAGGGCAGCCTGGTGGTTTGTAAACGAGTGACGTCAGTGCTGGAGCTGGATGTGCAGGATCGGGGCGCTGGAGGGCCCAGGGGGCAGGACCCTGGTGATGGGAGTGGCCTCTGGTGCCTCCTGGCCGTCCCGCCCAGGCCCGTGGCCAATGCAGCAGCCGCCCCTCGGGCCCAGGGGCACCCGAGCGTGGCCCCGTGGCCTCCCAGCCCGGTCTGCCCGGCCCACGGAGTCCTTCCTCCCACAGGGAACCTCCAACGGCCTGGGCTCCATCGACGACATCGAGACAGGTGTGTCCCTCTCCAAGGGGATGGGGTGGAGACGGGCCTCAGCCAGCCCAGCCCTGCAGACAGGGCTTCTGGAGACTCCCGTCCTGGGGACTCCCTGAGACAGGAGAGCAAATGGTGGGTTCAGGAAGAGTCCCCTCTCCAGCCTGGGGCGGGCACCTCAGAGTGAGGGTGCTGGGCCCATGTCCTCCACTCCGCCCCCTCCCCCCGGCCCCCCTGTCAGAGTCCCTGCCTTTGTTCCCACTGGCTCCCCAGAAGCTCACTTTAGAGGTGCCCTCAGGAGGGACGGCGTCCCCAGGCTGGGCCAGTCAGGCCCTGCGCCAGGCCCATCGGGGATATGCTGTGGTACTGGGACCCTCCCCACTCCCTGCACTGTGGCTGAGCCTGGGCCACTGGGTCCGGCCGGCGGCAGGCGGGGTTAGGGTCAGAGCTGGGCGAGGAGGAAGGGTGAAGGGGGAGGACCCCAGGGCAGGACCTCCTGCAGCCACTGAGCACCCCCCCCCGGGGCCCACAGACTGCTACGTGGACCTGCGAGGCTCCCCGGCCCCCCTCCCCGCGCCCCCCACGATGCCCCTGTTCCCCCACGTGCTGGACCTGCTGGCGCCCCTGGACAGCAGCAGCGGCAGGGCGCTGCCCAGCTCCGAGGGCCTGGATGACCTCTCCGACGGGGACGTCTTTGGTCCGGAGCTGGACACCCTCCTGGACTCCCTGGTGAGCCCCCTTCTCTCCGAACCCCCTCCCGCCTGGGCCCCACCACGGTCCTCCTCACGCCCCATCCCCACGTCCCACACTGCTGGAGGGACGCCCCCTCTGTCAGGAGGAGACAGAGGCCTGGGGGGCAGGAACTGGAAGCTGCAGAATGCGGGGTGTGTGTGTGTGTGTGTGTGGTGTGTGGTGTGTGTGTGTGTGTGTGTGTGTGTGTGTGTGGTGTGTGGTGTGTGTGTGTGTGTGTGTGTGTGTGATGGTGGAGGGGCAGTTCCTGGTTCCCCCAGGGCTCAGGCTGACCCTGGCAGTGCGTCCTCTGACCCGGCTCTCCCCCTGCAGTCCCTGGTCCAGGGCGGCCTGCCTGGCAGCGGCGTGCCCAGCGAGTTGCCCCAGCTGATCCCCGTGTTCCCGGGCGGGACCCCGCTGCTGCCCCCGGTGGCGGGCGGGTCCATCCCCGTCTCCAGCCCCCTGCCCCCCGCCTCCTTCGGCCTCGTCATGGACCCCGCCAAGAAGCTGGCCGCCTCGGTGCTGGACGCCCTGGACCCCCCGGGCTCCGCGTTGGACTCCCTGGACCTGCTGCCCTACTCAGAGACCCGCCTGGACGCCCTGGACAGCTTCGGCTCCGCCCGGGGCGCCCTGGACAAGCCCGGCGCCTTCCTGGGTGAGGCCGGGCGCCGGCGCCCCTCACCCCCCCACGGTCTGCAAGGAGCTGTCCCGGCTCAGCCTCAGAGCGGAGCTGGGTCACAGCCGTCTGCCTCGGCCCGGCCGTGTCCCCTGCGGCTCTGGGCTCAGGGCCGGGCCCGTATCCGGTTCGGAATCGCACGGCAGAGCGGGGACAGGCCAGGACTCCAGGCCTGTGGTCTGCTGCTCTGTCCAGCCTCCCAGGGTTCAAGGCCATGGGTTCCTTCAGTCCCACAGGGCGGGGAGCCAGGAACCCGACGGGCACAGGCCCCGTGGGCCTTCCCGGTCCGGCTCCCACACCCGGGGCCGCAGAGCTCCCGGCTCCCCTCACCCAGGCCCAGAGGGTCAGGAAGGCGATGCGCCTCCTGCAGGAGGCCTGTGCCAGCAGGGGGCGCCGTCCACGCAGGCCCGTGGCGGATGGACGGAGGGATGTCTCCCAAGGCAGGATGGGCAGAGGAGGCCTGAGCTAGTCTGGGGGACCCGCGTGAGCCGAGCTGAGGCGCTGGGCTGCCTCCAGGCCGTGGGGGTGCGGGAGGCGGGACCTGCGCCAGCCGGGGTGCTTCCCTGTCCCCGGGGTAGAGCTTTGGTCGTGGTCGGCAAACCGGCTCAAGAGCCACGCGCGGCTCTTTGGCCCCGTGAGTGTGGCTCTTCCACAAACACCACGGCCTGGGCGAGTCTGTTTTGAACAAGTGGCGTTAGAAGTTTAAGTTTAAAAAATGTGGCTCTCGAGAAATTTCTTCGCTGTGCTGTTGCTATTTGGCTCTGCGGACTGATGAGTTTGCCGACCGCTGCGTCAGGGGTCGGCATGAGCAGGAGGGGTGGAGCCTGGGTGGCCCAGTGGGTGGAAACACGGAGGCGGCTGGGAGGGCCCCTCACACCCCCGGAGCAGGCCGTGACCCCGTCTTCTCCCGCCCAGAGGACACCGGCTCCCAGGACCCGCGCCCCCCCAGCGGCTCCCAGAAGCCGGCCCCCTCGGTGAGTGACCAGCCAGGCACCGGGGTGGAGGCGAGGGCTGTGGGCTCCAGAGCGAGGGGGGGGGGGGGCCCTCTGCCTGGGGCCAGGGGCTGCACGCCCGGGAGGGGCGTTGGGAACACCCCGGGTTCGGGCCTCAGCCCGGCTCTGCGGTGGGCGCGCACTGTTTGGAGTCCGGCGGCCTGGCTCCCGCCTCAGCCGTGGCCCCGGGAGTCCTGGCCTCCCCTCGGCTGTGGGCTTGGGCGCTGGAGGCTGGGGCAGGACAGCCCCACGGGGTCCCCTCCTCTCGCTCTGCTTTCCTGCCGGGCTGGTGTCCGAGGGGGGCTCAGGGGCGAGATCACCGTTACCCCCGGCTTCTCCGGTCCCGTGCTCTGGGTTCTTGGGTCAGAGAAGGAGCTCCCGCTGGGAGGGCGGAGGAGGAGGGAGGGTCCTGGCTGCCGTGCGGCTCCTGGGGGGTCCTAGAGCCCCCCCCAGGCTGGCGCCCGGCCGGCCCTGCTGGCTCCGCCCTCGGCCAGAGCCCCAAACGCCGACCTCCTCCCGTCACAGCCAGAGCCCTCCATGCCCAACACCGCTCTGCTCATCAAGAACCCCTTGGCCGCCACCCACGAGTTCAAGCAGGCCTGCCAGCTCTGCTACCCCAAAACAGGTACCGTGCACCGCCCCCCGCCCCGCTGCCCGGACGCTGGGGCCGCCAGCGTGGGCACCCAGGACAGGTCCCCGTGTGCCCGTCAGAGAGGAGGGCGGGCACAGGAGCAGGGGGAGACAGTGGGGGTGGGGCTCTCACCAGTGCTGGGGAGGCCAGGGGGCGTGAGGGGTGCATCCTGGCGCCTGCAGCCCGGAGGTGGGGACCTGGCTGGGGAGTGCAGAGTGCCGCCCCCCACCCCCCCACCAGGAACGCAGCTTCGCCTTCCACGCCCCCTGAGTGCCTCTCACGGTGACTGCACACCTTGCCCAGCACCCAGGGGCGAAGGGTTTGGGAGAGGGCACTGGCTGGGTGGCCCCGGGGCGTCGGCAGACCCCAGCTCCAAGGCGGGCGGTGGAAGTCGCTCAGAGACGCCAGGATTGGGGGGTGCTTTTCCGCTCACCCAGTCTCTCACCTCAGAGCCTCTAGACTAGAGCTTGGTGTAGGATTCTAGACTCAGACTCGGGGCTTCTCTGCCGGAAGCCCACGGCCCCGCAGTTCTAGGCGATACGGGGTCCCAGGTCAGACATCTCAGCGGGCTGGGCTGCATCCTCTCTCAGCGTGTTGGAGTTGGCGGGGCCTTCAGGGTCACCCAGTTACTGTCCTCCACCTGCTGCCAGACCCCCCGGCCCCCCCAGCACATCGCCCTGCCCGGTCACCCCCAGAGCTCGGGGGCCCGTGGGGACGAGAGCAGAAGCCGCCGTGGCAGATGGCTGTGTCCGTAGGAAGTTCTTCCTTGGCTGCGTCCCCGCCCCCGGACACACACACACACACACACACACACACACACACCCCGCCCTCTGCTCCCAGAGTCACCGCCCCTGTCCCCCCGCCCAGGCCCCAGGGCCACACCTACCGCCCCTGTCCCCCCGCCCAGGCCCCAGGCCCCAGGGCCACACCTACCGCCCCTGTCCCCCGCCCAGGCCCCAGGGCCACACCTACCGCCCCTGTCCCCCCGCCCAGGCCCCAGGGCCGGCGACTACACCTACCGGGAGGGCCTGGAGCACAAGTGCAAGCGGGACATCCTGCTGGGCCGGCTCCGGAGCTCCGAGGACCAGACCTGGAGGCGGATCCGGCCCCGGCCCACCAAGACCAGCTTCGTGGGCTCCTACTACCTGTGCAAAGGTGGGTGCCCGCGGACGCTGTTCCCGCCGGCGGGGCCGTGGAGGGGGACGCCCTCCGGGAGAGGGCGCCCCGGGCGGCCCGCACGGGCGGGAGCGCGGGGAGCTCCCTCAGCTGCTGGCCGCGCTCCGGGTGAGAGCCAGCCTGTCCCGGCAGGCCCAGAGCTGCGGGAGCTGCGGGAAAACCGTGGACACACTGAGGACTGGCACGGAGTCGGGCGCCATGCATGTTAGCTCTGATTTATTTTTTATTTTTATTATTATTATCTTTTGTTTATCCTCACCTGAGGATATTCCCCCATCGATCTTTTAGACAGCGTGGAAGGGAGAGGGAAAGACAGAAACATCGAGGTTCCTCCTGTGCGAGCCCTGACCAGGGCTGGGGAGGAGCCTGCCGCCAAGGTGCGTGTCCTTGACCAGAATCGAACCCGGGACCCTTTTTTTTTTTTTTTTTTAACATATATATATATATATATATTTTTTTTTTAATTGATTTTTTACAGAGAAGAAGGGAGAGGGATGGAGAGTTAGAAACATCGATGAGAATCATCGATCAGCTGCCTCTTGCACACCCCCTACTGGGGATGTGCCCGCAACCAAGGTACATGCCCCTAACCGGAATCGAACCCGGGACCCTTCAGTCCACAGGCCGACGCTCTATCCACTGAGCCAAACCGGTCCCGGCTATATATATATTTTTTAATTGATTTTTTACAGAGAAGAAGGGAGAGGGATAGAGAGTTAGAAACATTGATGAGAGAGAAACATCAATTTAGCTGCCTCCTGCACACTCCCCACTGGGGATGTGCCCGCAACCAAGGTACATGCCCTTGACCGGGATCAAACCTGGGACCCTTCAGTCCACAGGCCGACGCTCTATCCACTGAGCCGAACTGGCCAGGACAACCAGTGTTAGCTTTTAAAAAGTATTCTGTTGCCATTGCCTCGCTCCTGGCTCTGTCACCTTGGTTGAAGTGGAATAGACAGTCATACACCATATATGCGTTCTTCTCTTCCTCCGCCAAGCGCCTGGGTGCGTCTCCCTGTCAGTGCGACAGCCACCGTGCTGTCCGTGCTTTGTGTGTCCCTGTTTTGTCCCCGCACGCAGCACCCTCAGACTCCGGGTGCCTGAGGATACGTGTTTTGCAGATGAAGATGTGACCCCCCAACCGCCCCCGCCCAGGGGCAGAGCTCGGCGGATGCCACCCTCCCCCGACCTCCTGGCGGGCAGGCTCCGCCCACGTGTGCACCCGGCCGGCGGGGGGCCGCCTTCCCGCCTGGCAGAACGTGTGTCCTGTTGCTCTTTGCAGACATGATTAACAAGCAGGACTGTAAGTACGGGGATAACTGCACCTTCGCCTACCATCAGGAGGAGATCGACGTGTGGACCGAGGAGCGGAAGGGCACCCTCAACCGCGACCTGCTCTTCGACCCGCTGGGGGGCGTCAAGCGCGGCAGCCTCACCATCGCCAAGCTCCTCAAGGAGCACCAGGGCATCTTCACCTTCCTCTGCGAGGTACCCGCCCGCCGCTGCCCTCCTCCTTCCCGCCCGCCGCCTCCCCGGGCGGAGGCCCAGTCCGGCCGGGCGGTCCCGGGCGCCATCCCCTGAGTGGCAGCCCTGGAGCACGGGGGTGGGAGCCTGGCCCTGGAGTCCGTACTCCTCAGACTGTTAGGCAGTTAAGCTCTGTCCCGCGGGAGCCCGATCCTGTCCACCCCTCACGAGGGCAGGGGAAACTGAGGCTGTGGGCCGGGCTGGGGCGGCTGGGCCGGCGCTGTAGGTCCTCACTCCACCCTCCTCACCGCCTTGCCTGGTTGTGCCCGCTGCCCCTCCCTGCCTGCTTCCCGGCCGTATCCTCTCCCTGGGTGTCCGCAGACCCAGAGGCCCGCGCGCCCGGCCAGCCCCGCAGGCTGCTGCCACCCCCCGAGCTGTCCCAGGAGGCCCCCTGGGCCCTGCCTCCCCACCAGCCCCGGCCCGGGAGGTCCCCTCCGTGGAGAGCGCGCTGGTCCTGGCTGCCGGCCGGGTTTGGGGCAGCTCAGCCCCCCCCCCGAGCGCGCAGGCGGAGCGGAGGGAGAGCAGTGCCCGGTGTGCGCTCCCAGGCGGACGGCTGCGTGTGCAGAGCACCTGCCGCGGTTCCATCCTTTCTGAGCTCCGCGGGGAGCCTGTGGGACAGGCCCGTGTGACTAAGGAAACTGAGGCTGAGGCGTAGGGCAGCCCCTGCCCTCGGCACGGCATGGTGAACCCAGCCCAGTGAGGGCCGGGCGCAGAGCCGGGCCGGTTACCGTGAGGGGAGCAGAGAGCCGGGCCGGTTACCGTGAGGGGAGCAGAGCCGGGCCGGTTACCGTGAGCGGAGCAGAGAGCCGGGCCGGTTACCGTGAGGGGAGCAGAGAGCCGGGCCGGTTACCGTGAGCGGAGCAGAGAGCCGGGCCGGTTACCGTGAGCGGAGCAGAGAGCCGGGCCGGTTACCGTGAGCGGAGCAGAGAGCCGGGCCGGTTACCGTGAGCGGAGCAGAGAGCCGGGCCGGTTACCGTGAGCGGAGCAGAGAGCCGGGCCGGTTACCGTGAGCGGAGCAGAGAGCCGGGCCGGTTACCGTGAGCGGAGCGCAGAGCAGGGCCGGTTACCGTGAGGGGAGCAGAGAGCCGGGCCGGTTACCGTGAGCGGAGCAGAGAGCCGGGCCGGTTACCGTGAGGGGAGCAGAGAGCCGGGCCGGTTACCGTGAGGGGAGCAGAGAGCCGGGCCGGTTACCGTGAGCGGAGCAGAGAGCCGGGCCGGTTACCGTGAGGGGAGCAGAGAGCCGGGCCGGTTACCGTGAGGGGAGCAGAGAGCCGGACCGGTTACCGTGAGCGGAGCAGAGAGCCGGGCCGGTTACCGTGAGCGGAGCAGAGAGCCGGGCCGGTTACCGTGAGGGGAGCAGAGAGCCGGGCCGGTTACCGTGAGGGGAGCAGAGAGCCGGGCCGGTTACCGTGAGGGGAGCAGAGAGCCGGGCCGGTTACCGTGAGGGGAGCAGAGAGCCGGACCGGTTACCGTGAGCGGAGCAGAGAGCCGGGCCGGTTACCGTGAGGGGAGCAGAGAGCCGGGCCGGTTACCGTGAGGGGAGCAGAGAGCCGGGCCGGTTACCGTGAGGGGAGCAGAGAGCCGGGCTGGTTACCGTGAGCGGAGCAGAGAGCCGGGCCGGTTACCGTGAGGGGAGCAGAGAGCCGGGCCGGTTACTGTGAGGGGAGCAGAGAGCCGGGCCGGTTACCGTGAGCGGAGCAGAGAGCCGGGCCGGTTACCGTGAGCGGAGCGGAGAGCAGGGCCGGTTACCGTGAGCGGAGCAGAGAGCCGGGCCGGTTACCGTGAGCGGAGCAGAGAGCCGGGCCGGTTACCGTGAGGGGAGCAGAGAGCCGGGCCGGTTACCGTGAGGGGAGCAGAGAGCCGGGCCGGTTACCGTGAGCGGAGCAGAGAGCCGGGCCGGTTACCGTGAGGGGAGCAGAGAGCCGGGCCGGTTACTGTGAGCGGAGCAGAGAGCCGGGCCCGTTACCGTGAGCGGAGCAGAGCCGGGCCGGTTACCGTGAGGGGAGCAGAGAGCCGGGCCGGTTACCGTGAGGGGAGCAGAGAGCCGGGCCGGTTACCGTGAGCGGAGCAGAGAGCCGGGCCGGTTACCGCGAGGGGAGCAGAGAGCCGGGCCGGTTACCGTGAGCGGAGCAGAGAGCCAGGCCGGTTACCGTGAGCGGAGCAGAGAGCCGGGCCGGTTACCGTGAGGGGAGCAGAGAGCCGGGCCGGTTACCGTGAGCGGAGCAGAGAGGTGGGGACCACAGACCTGGGCACTCAGAGCAGGGCTCCCAGGGACCCATCTGCCCCCTCCGCCCCACCCCCACCCCCGCCCGGTGGCGGTGCCGGGTTCCAGCCCAGCCCTCCCCGGGCAGATCTGCTTTGACAGCAAACCCCGGATCATCAGCAAAGGCACGAAGGACTCCCCGGCCGTCTGCTCCAACCTGGCCGCCAAGCACAGCTTCTACAACAACAAGTGAGCGTGGCCACGGCCGGCCGGGACGGGCATGGCGCGGCTCCCGGGCGGCTCAGGGCCTGGGGGGCGGCTGAGGTCAGAGGGTGGACGGAGGGTCAGGACAGGGGCAGAACGTGGGACTCAGAGCCAGCACCTCCGGAAAGGAGAGACAGACCACTCCATTCCAAGCACCCTTTGGGGCATCAGAATGGCCCCTAGTCCCGTGAGGCAGAGATGCTGACTGGGGCGTACGGATGAGAAGGCTGAGGCCAGAAGCAGGTCACTCGTCGACAAGCCTCGGGTCTGGTGCCCTCCCGTCGGCAGAGTGGGAGGGGAGGGTGAACCAGGCACCCATCTTTGCTCCCTCTGAGCCGCTTGGCTCTGCCCCGTCGGGGGTGAGGGAGCCCAGGCCTGGAGTCCCAGCTGGCCGGGGAGTGGCCTGTCCGTGTCCTCTGGCCGCCCTGACCCTCGGTTTCCTCACTGACCGGCTGATGGTTCCGAGCCCCTGAGGTCGCTGGGAGGGGGATTTGCATCCCAGGCCTGAGGGTGCTTTTTGTCCCTCCGGGTGCAGGCCCAGGCCTGGCGCCTCGGGCTGGGGAACCCGGGAAAGGCCCTTCTCCACCCATGGGCGCCCTTCTCCCAGCCCCGCAGCAGCCTGCCCTTGAGCTTGCCCCAGACTGAGGGGGCTGCCCGAGTGTGGGACCCCCCTGCCGCCTCCCGGCCATTGCTTGGCAGGGCGGGGGCACCGGGAGGAGCCCTCCCCTCCGGCCCAGAGAGGGGCTGCAGCCTGCGTCTCCCCCCTCCCCCCGCCCCCAGGTGCCTGGTGCACATCGTCCGCTCCACCTCCCTCAAGTACTCCAAGATCCGCCAGTTCCAGGAGCACTTCCAGTTCGACGTGTGCCGCCACGAGGTGCGCTACGGCTGCCTGCGGGAGGACAGCTGCCACTTCGCCCACAGCTTCATCGAGCTCAAAGTCTGGCTGCTGCAGCAGTACTCAGGTGGGGGGTCCGCTGAGGGGGGCAGGTCCCGCCGAGGGGGGGCAGGTCCCGCCGAGCGGGAGGGCAGGTGGGGGGGCAGGTCCCGCCGAGGGGGAGGGCAAGTGGGGGGGTCAGGCTCCCGCCGAGGGGGAGGGCAGGTGGGGGGGCAGGTCCCGCCGAGGGGGAGGGCAGGTCCCGCCGAGGGGGAGGGCAGGTGGGGGGGCAGGTCCCGCCGAGGGGGAGGGCAGGTGGGGGGGCAGGTCCCGCCGAGGGGGAGGGCAGGTGTGGGGGGGGCATGTCCCACCGAGGGGGAGGGCAGGTGGGGGGGCAGGTCCCACCGAGGGGGAGGGCAGGTGGGGGGCAGGTCCCGCCGAGGGGGAGGGCAGGGGGGGCAGGTCCCGCTGAGGGTGGGACAGGTGGGGGGGTCAGGTCCCGCCGAGGGGGAGGGCAGTGGGGGGGTCAGGTCCTGCCTAGGGAGAGGGCAGGTGGGGTGGGGCAGGCTCCCACAGAGGGGGAGGGCAGGGGGGGCAGGTCCCGCCGAGGGGGAGGGCAGGTGGAGGAGGGCGGGGCAGGTCCAGCCGAGGGGGAGGGCAGGTGGAGGGGGGTGGGGCAGGTCCAGCTGAGGGGGGGCGGGGGGGCAGGCTCCCGCCGAGGGGGAGGGCAGGTGGCGGGGGCAGGTCCCTCCGAGGGGGAGGGCAGGTCCCGCCGAGGGGGAGGGCAGGTGGAGGGGGGCAGGTCCCGCTGAGGAGGGTGGGGGCGGCTCCGGGGGGGAGGGCAGGTCCCGCCAGGGGGGGGCGGCTCCGGGGGGGGCTGCCTCGGGAGGAGCTGGTGCTCTCAGCCGGCCGCTCAGGGGCCCAGGCTCGCCCGTCTCCGGGCACTGCCGGGAGCAGGCAGGGGCAGGCTGGCTGTGGGGGCACCAGCACCTCACAGGCCGCTGCCTCTCCATGCGGGCCGAGCGCCGTCAAGGACACCAGGTCCGCCCTCGCCCCCAGGCATGACCCACGAAGACATCGTCCAGGAATCCAAGAAGTACTGGCAGCAGATGGAGGCGCACGCCGGGAAGGCCAGCAGCGGCCTGGTAAGGCCCGGCCTCGGGCGCTCATGATTTCCGATTGGCCAGGAAATGATAAGAATTATAAGTCGTACATCAAGCATGTACATCCTTTCCTGGATTCCCTGGGTGTTAGCCTTTGACCACATCCCACACTTTGTCCTGTGAGCGTGTGTGAGCGAGTGCGTGTGTGCGTGTGTGTGCGTGCGTGTGTGTGTGTGTGAGCGTGTGTGTGTGAGTGTGCGTGCGTGTGTGTGTGTGAGCGTGTGTGTGTGTGTGTGCGCCTGTGTGTGTGTGCCTGTGTGTGTGCGTGCGTGCGCGCGCGTGTGTGTATGTGTGTGTGAGTGTGTGTGTGTGTGTGCGCGTGTGTGCGTGTGTGTGTGTATGTGTGTGTGCGTGCGTGAGTGTGTGTGTGAGCGTGTGTGCGAGTGCGCGCGTGTGTGCGTGTATGTGTGTGTGTGCATGTGTGTGTGCGTGTGTGTGAGCGCATGTGTGTGCGCATGTGTGTGTGGGTGCGCGCGCGTGTGTGTATGTGTGTGTGTGCGTGTGTGTGTATGTATGTGTGTGTGTGTCCCTACACGTATGCATTTATATACGGAACGCACTCTTTTTTGATGAACTATTTGAGAATACGTTGCGGACACCATGCCCCATTTCCCCTAAATCCTCAGTGTGTTTCCTAACGATGCAGGCGCGCCTTCCGCAGTGCCACGGCCGCTGTCCGCACACAGAGCTGGCCTCGGGGCGCCCCGCCGAGCCTGGCGTCTGCGCTCAGGTTTTGCGAGTCGTTCCCGATCCCGAGCCTTCCTGTCAAGTCTCTTTTTAAAAAAACTTATCTTATTGATTTTGTACAGAGAGGAAGGGAGAGGGACAGAGAGCTAGAAACATCAACGAGAGAGAATCATCGACCAGCTGCCTCCTGCACACTCTCCACTGGGGATGTGCCCGCAACCAAGGTACATGCCCTTGACCAGAATCGAACCCGGGACCCTTGAGTTACGCAGGCCGACGCTCTATCCACTGAGCCACACCGGTCTCGGCTGTTGTGTCTCTTTAGTGTCCTTCACCCAGAGCAGCCCCTCCTCCGTCCCTCTGTCCCGTGGCCTTGGCATTGTGAGAGCCGGTTGCTCTGTAAAGGCCGCCACCCGGGATTGTCCGTGGCTCCTCGAACCTCAGGGAGATGCTCTGTTCTCCCCGGTCCTCCCCGGGCGGACGTGGTCCGATGTGTGCTTTCCCTGGTGGGGACGTGAGATGAGGTTTCTCCGCTGTGAGGTTATGCGTCCCCCGTTGTGGTCCATAGCGGTCTCCGGGAGAGTCCTGAGCCCCCGTCAGTCCCGGTGCTCCTCACACTGTCACCGCGGACTGTACGGCCTCGCTCCCGCCCTCGTGAGCCTCACCCGGTCCCGGAGACGGCAGGCGGCATCGTGTCCGCGGAGGCTCGGCGTGCCCAGGCTGCCCAGCCTCCCTGAGCGGGGCCAGTCCCAGCGTCTCTGCCGTCCGGTCTGGAGCTCCCCCTGCTCCGCCCCGCCCTGCACCAGCCCCTCACCCCTGAGGGCTCCTCGTCCGTAGATGGGGCCCATCGTCCTCCTGCCATCTCCCAGGGTGGGGCTGACTCCAGGAGCCCCTCCTCACCCCTGCCCCAGGAGGCAGGATCCTTGTAACTTGGAGGACAGCGGGACAGAAGGGGCGGTCCCGGCACAGGAGACGGTGCCATCCACACCTGAGGGACGGCCCCCTCACTGAGGCCCCCCGGAGGCCAGCCTGGGTGTGGCAGGGAGCAGGGCAGACTGGTCCGTCCCCAGAGCTGCCCAGCCCCTCGGGCCTTCCCTCTCTCAGCCCCCTTGTTGCTGGTCCTTTTCCTTTCTCTCCCCGGTTCCTGGCGGCTCCCTTCCCCTGGCCTTCTGCCACCGTGCAGTTTTGCTCCTGGTCGGGCACCAGGGAGGGCTAAGCCTGGACCTGCAGCATCTTCTGGAGCAGCGGTTCTCAGCCTGTGGGTCGCGACAGAGCCTAAGACCATCAGAAGATATAGATATTTACATTACAGTTCATTAACAATAGCAAAATCACAGCTATGAAGTAGCAGTGAAAATAATGTGATGGTTGGGGTCACCACAGCAGGAGGAGCTGTGTTAAAGGGCCGTGGCAGTAGAGGTTGAGAACCGCTGCTCTAGCGAGAAGACTGTCCCTGCCACCACCTGTCCTGACCCCTTCATCCTGCCCAGGCCAGCTGCCGGGGTCCCAGGAACGGGGCAGGCCTGGCGGCTCCAGGTACCCTGGCAGCTTTCCACGCCCTCGCGCTGCCAGCCCCTCCTCCCCACCAAGGCGCCTCCCTCAGGCCTGGCTCTGCCAGCCGGGCCACGTGGGCACAGGCGTCTTGTTTGCCATCGTGGGGAGGGGCCGTGGCACTGTGGGCCCGGCAGGGAGATGCCAGGGGGTCTGGCCGTGCACCTGCCTCAGCCAGGTCCGTCCTCGGCCGCCTGCCCGCCTGTGGGTGGGTCAGTGACCTCGCTGGGCCTCTGCGTCCCCGTCCGACGGGAATGACCCCCCCTCGCCCTGGGCTGCAGCGGGGGGGAGGGGGAGATGGCTGTTGTGAGAGCGGACGGTGTGGCAGTTCACTCGCCAGCGGCCGAGCCACGGTGCCCCTCCAGGCCCCCCCTCACCTCACCTGTGGAAAGGGGAGCATCCAGCCCTAACCGGTGTGGCTCAGTGGCTAGAGCGTTGGCCTGCGGGCTGAAGGGTCCCAGGTTTGATTCGGTCAAGGGCATGTACCTCGGTTGCAGGCACATCCCCAGCTGATCTATGTTTATCTCTCATTGATGTTTCTAACTCTCTATCCCTTTCCCTTCCTCTCTGTAAAATAAATCAATAAAACATATATATTGCAGCGGGACACGTAGACACCAGTGCTGCCGCGGGTAAGTGTCCTGTGCGCTCCGGTGCAGGCCGTGGCCCGGTGATTAAGGAGAGGGTTTATGTCATCATCGGGACGACGTGTGCCATCCTGGGGCCGAGCCAGGGCTCCGTGAGCACCTGACAGGGACAGAACCGCTTCCTGCCCCAGGGCAGCCCCTGGGCCGGGCAGTGCCAGGAACAAGCGCACCCACGGCAGGGACCGAGCCTGCAGCCTAGAGGACAGTGCTGCCCGGAGGGGCGGCCCCGCCTCAGACCAGGGAGCCGGGAGGCTCCAGCTGACGGAGGGACAGCGCGGCTGCAGGGCGTGAGGCCGAGTGGCATCTGCTCCCCGCCTGCCCCTCGCTGGCCTGGGGACGCTCAGGAGCAGGAGACGGGCGTGAGCGCGCGCGCGGGGCCTTGGAGAGCCCAGGGCTGCCCGTGGTCTGTCCCTCCGCCCAGCGCAGGCCCCTCCGTCCCCTCCGCGGCAGGGCTGTCCGCCTCCCGGGCCTGCTCTCCCGCGGGCCGGCCCGGGAACTGGAGGAGTCCGTCACCACGGGGAGCTCAGGGGCTGTGGGAGCGCAGAGGATGGGCAGCTGCTCTGGGAGAGCTCCAGGAAGGCTTCCTGAAGGAGGTGCTCCAGCTGAGTCTTGGAAGTTTCTAGACCAAACCTATGAAGAACAGACAAAGGGCGTTCCAGGAAGAGCGAACGGCGTGTGCGAAGGCAGGGAGCTGTGAGGTCGCCTGCCGTGCCCAGAGGATGCCAGCAGCCCCACAGAGCAGGCCGACGCGGGCCAGCCGCCAAGGCGGAGAGCCCGGCTCAGGAGTCAGGCCTCCCCTTCCAGGCCTCGCTCCCGCGTGGAGAGGCCGTGGGCTGGAGCTGGGCGTCACTTCCTGCCAGCCCCAAGGCTCCGGGCAGAACTAATGCCCCCCAGGGACCTTCATGGTGGACCTCAGGCCGTGGCCCTGGTGCCTGAGCTTCACCAGCCCCTCTGCCCGCAGGGTGCCCCGCGGACACACGGGCCCAGCACCTTTGACCTGCAGATGAAGTTCGTGTGTGGCCAGTGCTGGAGGAACGGGCAGGTGGTGGAGCCTGACAAAGACCTCAAGTACTGCAGTGCCAAGGCCCGGCACTGGTGAGTGGGTGCGGGCTGGGCTGGGTGGGGGCTGGGCTGGGTGGGGGCCTGGCACTGGTGAGCGGGTATGGCCTGGGTGGGGGCATTGGCACCCGCTGGGTGAGGGCCACCGAGTGCCACGGGTGAGGAGGCCACGGCTCTCTGCGGAGGCCACAGCCGGAGGCTCTGCCCACGCCCTCCCCGACGGCCCCTCTGCCGACAGCTGGACCAAGGAGCGGCGGGTCCTGCTGGTGATGTCCAAGGCCAAGAGGAAGTGGGTGTCGGTGAGGCCACTGCCGTCCATTCGCAACTTCCCACAGCAATACGACGTGAGCACGGGGGCGGGGAGGGGCGCCCTCTGGTGGGCAGCGGCGCCCTCCGGCGGTACCAGCAGGCCCTCCCTCGCCCCACAGCTCTGCATCCACGCGCAGAACGGCCGCAAGTGCCAGTACGTGGGGAACTGCTCCTTCGCCCACAGCCCCGAGGAGCGGGACATGTGGACGTTCATGAAGGAGAACAAGAGTGAGTGCAGGCCGGCCCCTCGCTGCCGGCACCCCGGCCCTGCAGCAGGCCGAGGGCGCCTGGGCCACCGCCCCTCTCCGGGCGCACCAGGCCCGCTCCCTGCTCTGCTCTCCGGGCCCGAGAAGCCCCCCTCTCCCTCCGGCGGGTCCCGGGGCGGCACGGAGGGAGCGCCCGCCCCATGCCCTCTGCCCCCGTGTCCCTGCAGTCCTGGACATGCAGCAGACCTACGACATGTGGCTGAAGAAGCACAACCCGGGGAAGCCGGGGGAAGGGACGCCCCTCGGCGCCCGGGAGGGGGAGAAGCAGATCCAGATGCCCACGGACTACGCCGACATCATGGTAACGCCCGGGCGGCGGGGAGGGGCCGGCCCCCGGCGGGGGGTGCAGAGCGGGCACCCACGGTGGCTGTGCCCCCAGATGGGCTACCACTGCTGGCTCTGCGGCAAGAACAGCAACAGCAAGAAGCAGTGGCAGCAGCACATCCAGTCCGAGAAGCACAAGGAGAAGGTCTTCACGTCCGACAGCGATGCCAGCGGCTGGGCCTACCGCTTCCCCATGGGCGAGTTCCGGCTGTGCGACAGGTGCGCGGGGGCGGGCCCCTCTGGGTCTGCAGTTGGCACTCAGGGGTGGTGTGTCCTGGACACGAGGAGCCTGGCACCGGGCGGGGCAGGGCAGGGTCGGAGGGGTGGAGGGGTGCGGTGGGTGGGCCTGGCCAGACCCCCCTTCGCAGACCTGGGTCCCTGGCAAAGGCTGGGCCATGCCAGCATGCAGCAGCCCCAAAGCCACTCCCGGGGTGGAGCTGGTCTTGGGTAAGGTGACTAGACGTCCCGCTTTTGGTGGGACAGTCCCGATTTCTAACAATTTGTCCCGTTGCCGAAGCCGGTTTGGCTCAGTGGATAGAGCGTCGGTCTGAGGACTGAAAGGTCCCAGGTTCGATTCCTGTCAAGGGCATGTATCTTGGTTGCGGGCACATCCCCAGTGGGGGGTGTGCAAGAGGCAGCTGATAAATGTTTCTCTCTCATCGGCGTTTCTAACTCTCTATCTCTCTCCCTTCCTCTCTATAAAAAAAATCAATAAAATATTAAAACAAAAAAGAACAATGTGTCCCGCGTCCCTCGTCGTTTTTAAAAAAGTCCCGATTTTTTTTTTTTTTTTTTAATCGGGACTTTTTTAAAAACGACGTGGGACGCGGGACATACTGTTAAAAGTCGGGACGTCCGGTCACCTTCCGCTTGGGGGAGGCTAAGCGGCTGGCCCAGGCCCCACAGCCGTGGTGGGCAGGGCCAGGGCCCAGGGCCAGGGCGCGGGCAGTGAGCCTCCCGCTGCCCACAGGCTCCAGAAGGGCAAGGCCTGCCCGGACGGGGACAAGTGCCGCTGCGCTCACAGCCAGGAGGAGCTCAGCGAGTGGCTGGACCGGCGCGAGGTGCTGAAGCAGAAGCTGGCCAAGGCCCGCAAGGACATGCTGCTGTGCCCGCGGGACGACGACTTCGGCAAATACAACTTCCTGCTGCAGGAGGACGGCGCCGCGGCCGCCGCGCCCGGAGCCCCCGCCGCGGGCCCCGGCGAGTAGCCAGGCCTCGTCGTGGGTGAAGTCCTAGGGCCCGGGGTGTGGATGGGAACGGGGGCCTGGCCGGAGGGCCGGGGCGGCCTGGGGCGGGGGGCCGTCCTCATCAGGCAGCCCCTGGCCCTGGAGGCCCTTACCCATCATCCCGTCTGCTCCCGCCACCCAGTGTGCAAGCCGGGGGCACGTGCTGTGGCTCAAGGGGTCCCAGCCCCCTCCCCCCCAGCCCCAGCGCCCCTGGTCGGACCCCTCCGGCTCCAGCTACAGCTTTAACCTCTGTCTGCTCCCAAAGGGGGCCCGAAGCTCAGGGCTGGGGAGCCCGGGGTCCCCACTTGAATCTGCAGCAGGAAGGTCCTCTCTGCCCGCCTTCATTCCACCCCCGCCTCCCCGGGGACAGGTCAGGTCACCGCAGAGGGCGGGAGGCCCCAGTTAGCTTTAAAACGCAGCCCAGGGCGATGGAGCTGGGCCTCGGTACGGGTCCCTCACCCTCCGAGGCCTCCGTCTTCCCGCCAGCCCGGCCCCTCTCATTCCGGAGCCACTGAGTGTAGATCGTAGGTCCTCAGAGCCCGAAGCCCCCATTCTGCAGGTGGGAAAAGTGAGGCCCGAAGGGGAGACGTGATCCACACGGGGTCTCCGTCCCACGGCAGGAGGTGCACACTGGTCAGGAGACTCAGGGCCCGCCATTAGCTGGGGGACCGCCTCTGGATTGGTGTGCAGCTGGGGTCCCCGGCAGCGCCACCCGGGGGCTGGGGAAGGAAGCTCAGGGGTTTGGTCTTGTCCGCACGGAGGAGGGGAAGTCCTCTCCGGAGGATAGTTGTGGGGTGCGTCCAGCAGATTCGGGGACAGGTGGGAGGGGCAGGGAATGAGGTACGGAGGCGAGGGGATGCTGAGAGAAGGGAGACATGACCCTGGGGCATCATGGGCCATTCGAGGACCAGACACACCCCTCTTTTAGGGGGGCCCAGCATGGTCCTTTCCTCCTTCTCCCTGAGACCCAGAAATACAATCATGACCGTCTGTCCTGGCCCCTCCCTGCTCCCTGGCCCTGCCAGCTGACCCCCCAGCCCCTGCCCCCACCCACCCAACACGCCCCTCTCCTGTCCCCGTGTGGTCTGATGTCTGTGTGCACCCTCTGCTCTCCGTCCCACCCCCTGCGCGCAGGCCCGGTCTCCCCTGGTTCCCCAGACATTCCAGAACGCCCCACACCATTGGCACAGAAGTGGGGCGCCCCCCCCCCAGCAGGAACCAGGGACCCAGGCTGGGCTCGGGGGTGAGACGGAGGGCATAGAGTCCCCCTTCCTTCTCCTCGAGCAAGGATTGACAGTGTGTGATGACAGGACGACGGGCGTCGGGCTCAGAGAAGCCTGTTTCTCTTGCCACCACTGCCCACCCTCCCCCTAATAACTGGCATGCATGCCTCCCTCCCCCGCCCCCTGCCCCTCCCCCGCGGCCAGCCCTGCAGCGTGGGTGCTGGGGGCGTGGCTGGGGGCCGGAGAGACCACACCCAGCGTGGGGGCGTGGCCTTGAGCGTCCACGACACTTGTTTCCCCGAGCCGTGGTGTTGCCGTGTGTCACCAGCCTGTTTCTAGCGTGTATATATGTGGCCCCGTGATGCATATATACACAGGTATTAAATATATCGCTCTATACAATATTATATATGTGTGTGGTATCCAACCAATCACTTCTGTGGAGGGCTAAGGATAAGGAGTTTGGCCAGGAAATGCAGCCGCCCTGGTCTAAGGTAGAGAGGTTTTCCAGGCCGTCAGGCCATGTCTGGGGGTTCAGAGACCAGGGCCAGGGCCAGAGGTGACTGGGCCCAGCTCTGCCTGCAGCTTCCAGCGCCCCCTCCTGGGGAGAGAGCAGGAGTGCGCAGGAACAGCTGAGGATTGGTGTTGACCCCTCCTTACCCAAGGGAAAAGGGTTCGAGTCCAGATTTCTCTTCAACCCGTTTTGGTCCCAGGGCCTCCGGATCTGGGCCTTCCTGGCCTGGCCGCTCTGGGGCCCTAGCAGGAGGCAGGGAGATTTCTGCTGAGGGCGATGATTTCTGTTGTGATCCTGACAGGGAGGCCGGGAGAGGGGAACCAGGGCCTGTGCCCGCCGCCATTGGGCAGGGACAAGAGGTCAGGCCACGTGGCCACGGGGCGGGGGCCCTGGACGGAGAGTCCCTTCTTGGCGGGGCGGGGCGGGCGGCTGCATTTCCCAGCCGGGCAGGAATCAATGCAATGGTCCTTTTAAAACGTGTATTAAAATCTTAAGAATACCACACTTTAATATTAAATATTCATAAGGTCTAGTATCTTGATAATAATGTAGATGTTTTAATAACAATTTTTGTCCTTCTTAAAATAAAAACGAAAGAAACTTGCTTCTCGTAGCCTTTGTTCCAGAAAATAAACGTGTGCGTTTTGACCTCTGTCCCCCAGGTGTCGCTCCTGCTCCTCCCTGCCTGGCTCCGGCGCCTGGGGCAGAGCTGGCCGGTGCTGGGCAGCCGCAGCCAGACATTCCAAAGGGTGAGGGCAGGTCTGTCCCTGAGTAAACAGGGCAACTCAGCTGACCCTGGCTCGGGCAGCCCGGGCCGACAGGGACAAGCTGTGCTCTGCATAAGTGGCCCCAGTGGCCGCCCTTTGCTGGCTCCTCCGCAGCCGGCCTGCTGTGGCCCCCGTGTTCCCCGTGTGCACTGGCCTGGGGTCCAGAGGTCCAGCTCGGGGCCCTTTCTGGGTGTGGCTTTTCCAGAAAGGTGAGGGGCCGTGTCCTGCTCTGGAATATGATCCTGACTCCTCTGGGCTCAGGCCCCTGGGCTTCCTCTTTAAGAGGAGAGTGTGTATTAGGCCAGGAGTTCTCAGTGAGGGACAGCTGCCTCTGCTGGGGGTACTTTCTCAAACCTCGGGGGGTGTGGTTACAGGTGATGAGGGGGGCCTGGTGGGAGAGGCTGCAAATGATCATGACCAGACAGTCTGAAACAACAGCACAACCCTAGCTGGTTTGGCCCAGTGGATAGCGCATCCACCTGCCGACTGAACGGTCCCAGGTTCGATTCTGGTCAAGGCCATGTGCCCGTATTGTGGGCTTGATCCCCAGTAGGGGGTGTGCAGGAGGCATCCAATCAGTGATCTCTCTCACCATTGATGTTTCTCTCTCCCTCTCCCTCTCTGAAATCAATAAAAATATTTTTTAAAATAAATAGACGACGGTTCAGAGGCTCCAGGAGCAGGGGTCCAAGACCTAGGACTTCTCCGAGAATAGGGAGCCATTTGGGCCTGGTATACAGGAGGGGCTGAGATGCCTGAGAAATGGCCAGAGAGGAAGAGCAGCAGCCAGTTTGACTGAGGACCGCCTGAGCACCAGGGCCTGTGGAGGCCGCTTGTCTGTCCACGGTCAGCACAGGCTCCAAGGACCTTCGGGAAGGAGGCAGCAAAAAGCCCGAGAACCACCGGGAACTGGCTGGTCGGCGGAGGCCCCTTCAGCTCCGGCATCGGGGTTCTGGCACCCCCCTGGCCACGCCCAGGAAAACCCGGGTGGTGACAGGGGACTGCTCCCTGGAGAGAGTGCGGCCCCTCCCTGGCCTGCGTCTCGACCTCCTTGAACTCAGGAAATCAGAGTAAAACAAGGAAGTGGGCGAAGCTCTTAAATTCCCCTAAATTCCCCTCTGGTCCTCGTTCAGCTCAGGTCTGCAAGCATGAACTGGGCGCCCACACCAGCCCAGCTCCTGGGGACGCACATTACTGAAGATGGCATCCCTGACTCCATCCTCTGCCTGGGAGACAGACCCGCAGGGAGGAACGTAGGATGCTGTGGCAGGCTCAGTTGTGGGACAGACACTCCCAAGTGCCAGCGAAGGCACCTCATCCAGGCTGAGGGAACCGGGAGGGCTTCCTGGAGGAGGTGACCCTGGAACTGAGGCTTTAAAAAATTATACCATTGCACCGAAACCGGTTTGGCTCAGTGAATAAAGCATCGGCCTGCAGACTGAAGGGCCCCAGGTTCGATTCCGGTCAAGGGCATGTACCAAGCTTGGTTGAGGGCACATCCCCAGTAGGGGGTGTGCAAGAGGCAGCTGATCTATGATTCTCTCTCATCGATGTTTCTAACTCTATCCCTCTCTTTCTCTCTGTGAAAAATCAATTAAAAATATATTTTAAAAATTATAGCATTGTAATCAATGTGCACTTACTGATCTGCATCTTGCTTTTTTTTCTCAATTGTATTTCACATGTGCATCTTCATGCCCCCATGTAAGCTAGCTATGTGTTGTCAGTGGCTGGCACTTCCTCGAGGTGCCAGAGCTGGCTTGAGCAGCCCCAGTCATTGAATGCAGGCTCGTTTCTGGTCTCCAGTCCTGTGACGAGGGACTGCGGTGACCACCACCGCCACCAGGCTCCTCCTCCTCCCTGCCTTTGGGGGAACTGCTTCCTAGGAGAGACCACTGTCTGGGACCTGGGGGTGCAGATAACTCATCCACATTTACCCCGACCAGGGAGCTGGTTCAACAAGACCTCTGAGCCAGGACACCCAAGAAGTGCAGACAGCCCTAACTGGTTTGGCTCAGTGGATAGTGTCAACTTCCGGACTGAAGGGTCCCAGGTTCGATTCCAGTCAAGGGCACATGCCCAGGTTTCAGGCTCCATCCCCAGAAGACAGTCGATCAATGATTCCTTCTCATCATTGATGTTTCTATGTCTCCCTCTTCCTTAGTCTCTGAAATTAAAAAATATATATACCCTGAGTGGCCAGATTATTATGATCTCTGGACACATAATAATCTGACCACTCAGTGTATATCCTATATAATAAAAGGTTAACATGCAAGATTTCCTCTCAACCAGAAGTTTGACCAGCAGGCAGGCCGCAACTGCCCATGTCCCCTCCCTCTGGCCAGGCTAGCCAGACCCCACCCATGCATGAATTCATGCACTGGGCCTCTATACACACACACTGAGTGGCCAGATCATAATAATCTGGCCACTCAGTATATTTTTTTAAAAAGTGCAGACAATCCCCACACACCTGCCATGTGGCTCCTCTGAATGTCCCCAGGCTTGTATATGGCCTCCCTCTCCACACCTCTGTCCTTCCTAGCATCTTTTTTTATTGTTGTTATTAGTCTTTACCCGAGGATAATTGCCAATATTTTGATTTTTAGAGAGAGTGGAAGGGAGGGGGAGAGACAGAGAAAGAGAAACATCGATGTGAGACAGACACATCGATCAGTTGCCTCCCGCACGCACCGGACTGGGGCTGGGATCAAACCTGCAACCAAGGTATGTGCTCTTCACCAGGAATTGAACCCAGGACTCTTCAGTCTGTGAGCCGACGCTCTATCCACTGAGCCAAACTGGCTAAGGCGTCCCTAGCATCTTGATTCAGCAACCTGCCGATGTGGCCCGTGTGTGACCACAGGTGATGCTGCTGGCTGGACACCCTGGGTCAGAGTGGGGGTGCCAGGTGGACTGACTCGGTGCCATGAAAATTTCTTAAGGGCAGGGACTTGCCTGGCTGGGTTTCTTGTTTGACTTTGAATTCTTCACGAGAGCTAGGCTGGGCCAGGTATGCAGTAAGCACTCCTTCCTGCATTGAAAAGGTCTGCAGAGAGCTCACAGGAACAGATCTCTGAGGGTGAAATGTCGTGCAGCCAGTGGGTGCTTTGAGACGTGTAGGGGACGTCCTATTGCCTCTGAAATCACGCTCCGTGGGCATCTATCCACTCCACCTTTGTGGCAAGCCTACCCTGCACATGACAGGGTTCCCAGGCCAAGGAGTGGCTACTGTACCAGCTCAGCCTCGGTCGGCCCCAGCCTACGAGTGCAGGCAGCCTGCACGCTGGCCACCATGTCCTCACGTCCTCACCCCAGGCTCACAGAGGCAAAGGGCACTAGAAGGCTAAACACAAAATTAAATTTGTTCTGAAGAACGGGAGTGGGGAGGAAGGACAGGGATAGATAGGACATGTTTAAAGGATACCTTTACCAAAAGTTTTGAGCTTTGCCAAAACCGGTTTGGCTCAGTGGATAGACCATCGGCCTGTGGACTGAAAGGTCCCAGGTTCGATTCTGGTCAAGGGCATGTACCTTGGTTGTGTGCACATCTCCAGTGGGGGGTTGAGGGGTGGGAGGCAGCTGATCAATGTTTCTCTCTCATCGATATTTCTAACTCTCTATCCCTCTCTCTTCCTCTCTGTGAAAAATCAATAATATATATTATATATATATATATATAAAAGTTTTGAGCTTTGAGCCACATACTGTTTTATTAAATTTAAAATTGACATTAATTTGTCATTAACTTGGGAAAACAACATGGTTTGGGGAGGGCCCTTAGGAAGGGAGGGAGGGTCATTAGAAGATGAGAGCTGTTTGGAAGCGGCCAGTAAAGGTCGGTGGAGTGAGTGTGATTCTGTACAGAGGGGGGATCTCGGAGAGCAGTGGAGGGCTGCAGAGAGATCAGCGACAGTAAAGGAAGCAACTGCTTACTGCATCCCACCGGCGTGTCAGAGACAGCCCCAGCCGAGGGTCAGTGCTCAGTGGCTTTGCCTGGAGGCCCAGACCATCTGCACAGCTTGTTCAAGACCCCACAGGGTGTGGCAACCCTACTCTGAGGCTGGTCTCTGTGGAAGGTGACACAGAACCTTGGCTTCAACCACACGTTCGAGTGGCCTGGGGACCACAGAGGCCAGTGCCCCGGTGAGAGGGCCGGGGAGAGGACTACAGCAAAGAGCCAATGGTCACTGAGGTTCCGAGGATGGGCTGGGAGACAGGACATCATCCAGGACAAGCCGGAGCCAGGTCTGCAGAGCTGCCCCCTCCCAGCTACGTCTCCTTCCCTCTCCGGAAGGCCAGAGGGACCAGGCCGCAGGTTTTGTCACGTCCCTTAGGAGAACAGGCTTCAGGCTCTGCGGATGGTGGAAAGCCCCAATTATGCATGTCACATGCACACGCGTGCACCTAGCAGGACACGTGTGGATCAGCTTCAAAACCCACAAACCACCCGGGGAGGCTCACAAGCCCCCAGGGGACCTTGTGATGCGCCTTCACACGCCTGTAAGTGCCAACACACAGTCTATCCTCTGTGCAGAGCTGCCTGCGGTGCCGGGTCTCACGTCCCCGCTGAGCTGGTCTCCACAGCAGGCCCTCCCATCCGCTGCCCGGTGTGCCTGGCGGTGCGGTGCGCCTCCCTGTGGGCACGGAGCTGGCTCCCGGCTCCCGCCTGGCAGGCCCCGGCCATGGCTCCCAGCCCGAGGGGAGAACTTCCCTTCGCAAAGTTAGATAACAGCCCGGCCTCCCCGCCAGGGGATTGGCGCAGCGGCTCCACGTGCTGCGGCTGGCACCCGGCCAGGCCGCCCTGCCAGGCAGCGGGAAGGGAAGGCCCGGC